TATATATATATATATATATATATATATTGTATGTTTGAAGAATAGAGCATGATAATATTATTGAGCAGCAAGAAGGGTATAAATACATGATGCGATGATATAGAAAAGGAAATATGTAATACTCAAATCTTTCCTAATAATACCCGAAGGATAAAAAGGAAAGATATAAGCTAGGAAATATATATATAAAGAAATAAAAGGAAAGTCAACAAAACAAATATAAATAACTTATCATAAAATATTTTACAATACTTCTTAAGTTGAAGTATAGATGTCAATCATGTTTAATTTGAATTTGATGTCGTCAAACAACGACAGAGGAAGATTCTTTGTAAATATATCTGCGAGTTGACCATTGGATGAGACAAATGAAACACAAATTTTCTTGAAATCGAGCTTCTTCTTGATGAAGTGACAATCAATCTCTACATGCTTAGTATGATCATCTTGGACCGAATTATGAGCAATGCTAATTGTGATTTTGTTATCACATAACAACTGTAGAGGAGTAGAGAACAACATACATAATTCGCGGAGCATGATGAATAATCAGAGTTCGCAGATTTCTAAAGACATGGAATAAAATTAGGCTTCTGCACTGCTTCAGGCAACCATCAACTGTTTCTTGCTTTTTCAGGTGACAAAATTTCCCCACACGAATGAGCAAGACCTTGAGATATATCGCTAATCATGGACGGACCTGACCCAATCATTGTCAGTATAAACTACAATAAATCGAGAGGTCTGACACGAGAATTACAAGCCTGAGTCCAATGTAGCTTTTTAGTTGTGAAGATTGTCGATGCCTTTAAGAGATTCCAAGGCTAGCAGATCATTTCCTGTGAGCACAATATTGTTGACATAGATGATAATTATGACACTGGTCATTAGAGGAATGTCAAAAGAAGAAATTATGTTATGATTGGGCCTAAGAGAACACATGACTTACTGTCATCTGTTTGAACTTACCAAACTAGGCTCGAGGGGATTGATTCCGTCCGTAGAGGGACTTCCGCAGTTAACACACTTGTCCTCGGGAAGAGTCAAAGGATGGGGGTAGAGACAAGTACACCTTTTTTGTGAGATCACCTTTAAGAAAGACATTCCTGATATCCAATTGGAGTAAGTGCCAATTCAATTCACAACATGGGATAACACGACCCGAATGGTGTTCAACTTAGCAACCAGAGAAAACGTCTCCTCATAGTCAATGCCATAGGTTTGTGAGTAGTCTTTGGCTATCAATCGTGCTTTGTTGCGTTTCAAAGGTTCCATCGGAGTTAAATTTGGTGTTGAAGATCCACTGACAAACAACAACTTTCTTTCCGCGAGGAAGATCAACTTCCCACGCATGATTTCGTCGAAGGACATTTATCTCATCCATTACTGTAGCTTTCAGGAAAGGTCCGCCAAAGCTGCTCAATAGTGGATAAAAGATGATCCGTTAAGGAAGTGACAAATGCTTCGTACGTCCGCGAGAAGCTGTGGAGTGAGACATTTTGCCTTGGAATAAAGTGAACAAGCCTAATTTTGTACCTCAATGGTAGAACTCACCTCCTCAATTAGAGTAGGAGTAATCTCTGCAAGTCTAGTGCCGAGGATGTCGGCTGGGGCAGATTTTTAGTCCTACAAAGAGGCAGTGGGCTCAAGAATAGGGTATTGGGATGGATATCAACCTAGGTTTTGATGCGCCGAGTATAGACATAGAGAGTTGGTGGAGATATTGGTCTGGTAGATGATGGATCCATTAGGACAGATGGTTTCTCGGGAACAGTGATTGGAGTAGATGGCATATCCAATGGAGTCGGGAAATGAGTAGTGTCCAAAAAATATAGCTCCCCATCAAACATTTTCAGAGAATGAGACATCGATACTCACATAATTTATTTGTGCTAGGATCGAGGCACTGAGGATCCTGAGTGACAGAATATCCGAGAAAGATACAGTTGATCGAACGTGAAACAAGTTTACTACGAGTTGGGGCAATGTTTTAAAAAAATCTCTTGCACAAAAAAATTTTGGGGTCTAAGGTGTGAAGGAACTGATTGGTAGGAAAACATGATTTAAAGACTACTAATGGGGTCCTGACTTTGTGAATTTTGGTGGGGATTATTGATAAGATATGTGGCGGTAAGTATGTAGTCATTCCAAAATCGTCGCGGAACATTCGATTGAACTTAATGGAATGGACAACTTCGAGGAGGTGTTGGCTTTTTTGATTGGCTACCCCATTTTGTTGAGAAGTATCCGTACTAGAGCTATGATGGAGGATGCCCTTACCAAAATATCTTCTAATATAGAATTAAAAAAATCACGATTGTTGTCAGTCTGAAGGACCTGTATTGATGTTTTGAATTGGATCAAAATGAAGGAATGAAAGCTTTTGAACGTGACAACAACTTCAGATTTGTCTTTTAATTTATAGACTCGTATCATTCAAGTGTGATTATCAATTAAGGTTAGAAACAACCATTTATTGGTATAACTAGGCGTTCGAGTGGGCTTCCACAAGTTAATATGAATTAGTTAAAAGAGAGCGAAAGAAGTGTAAGAGTGGTGGATATGATACTTGATGATGCTTATCCAACTGATAACTCTTACATTTGAAACTAAATAATTTTTTAATAGTGAATATCAAAGGATACAACTATTTTAAATTTTGAAAAACTGGAATGACCCAAACGACATTGTAATAATATAATAGGACATTCAATGGACTGGAAATAACTACAATTACTGAGCCTGATTACCCGCTTAGCAGTTCCAATCATCATTTCCGAACGGCGATTCTAAAATACAAACATCATGTGAAAAATGAGCAACACAATCAAGATCATATGTCAACTTACTGACTGACAAGAGGTTACAATTTAACGAATGTACATGTAAAACACAGAATCTAGAGTCAGGCCTGCTGTTAGAATAATTGACCTGTCAGCAATTTTAATGCTTTCTATCCTAAAACATGGAGAATATTTCGAGAAGGCTTGAGAACATCTTGTCATATGGTCCGTGACACTTGAATCAGTAATCCACGGACTATAAGAAGCAAAAATAGTGAGTGCCTTCAACATGTTACCTGAACAAACATGAGAAGTCAAAGGGTCGGAAGAGAACTGACTAGATCCAAATAGATTGATCAAGTGCTCAATTTGACTCTCAATGGAGTCTGGTGATTTCAGGATGTCTCGAGTGGTAGCTGATTGTATTGTCGTGGCTTCTGATGTTATAGCGAGACTCTTAGCAGCGGAAGATTTGTTAGAAGGTTATTCGTCAATTTCTCGTGGAGCTTCCAACACTTGTCACATGTATGATTGGGTTTATAATAGTAATCAAAAGTAGAGTGATTGACTCACAGAACCCCAGACTTTGTCGAAATCTTTGTTTAGCCGGAGACTCCCATGCATAGTCGTTGTAGAGATCTCATTCCATCCATAAGACCACCATGTAGTGATCTCATCGCAGATCTTCTTAGAAACCTCATAGAGTTGGCTAGAATTCCCTACGTCTGAGTAGGTATCCCGAACTGTGGTCCAGAGGGCACTTGTAGATGGAAGAAACATGTAGGAACGGCCAATTGAAGTCTCCATGGAATTAATCAGTCATGACATGACCATGAAATTCTCCACTTCCTCATGCTGCATATGCTGAGCTAGTTTTTGAAGGTTCATGAATCATACCTGTAAGATAGCCAATTTTCCATTGTCCTTTGATGAACAATGACAACTTTGGATCATTGGAAGAAGTTAGAGCGGTTAAGTTTATGCGTGGTGATTAGGAAGTTCATGTGATTTTCAGGTCCTCTGGTTTGTGGAGGGATTGCGGTTGGTGTCGATCCTCTGGTGGATTCAAATACACTGTCGGAAGAGAGCTCAGTGGTGAAGGAATCCGCAATGATTACAACCGAGACAAATATGATGTCAGGATACTGAGACTTAGAAAAGGATTCCAATTGCAGAAATACCGTCGGGACAAACTAAGAGGTAGGCCCGCAGGCAGCAGTTCGGCACGGGAAAAAAACGGAGGCCGAAACCTTGCAGGAACCTCTGAGAGGAGCGAAAAAACCTTTAACTGGAACATCTCACGGGAGGAAACAATGGGAGGAAAAAAATCACGGATGAAAACAACGCAGCTGCAGGAGTACTTGGGATTTCTTTCCTCAGTCTACCAATCAGATACAGGCAAGAATGACCGGTTGCTGAAATCCTAAGAGGGAAAAAATTGCAAGCTAGATCTCATGCAGGCTAGGGTAAGAACCTTATTCTGATACCATGTAAGTTTGGAGAATAGAGCAGGATAATATTATTGAGCACCAAAAGGGATATAAATTCATGATTTAAGGGTATAGAAAGGAAATGTATAATACCCAAATCTTTCTTAATGATACCCAAAGGATAAAAAGCAAAGGCATATAGCAGGAAAAACACATATAAAGAAATAACAGGAAAAGTAACTAAATAAATAGAAATAACTTTTAATAAGATAACTATAATTTATCATATTGCATTCGAGTTCAGCTACTCATTTTCCGGTTGAAGAGCACCTCTCTTCATACATTTGTGCTGTCATGATGATTCCAAACCTCCAACGAAATGTAGTTGTCATGTATTTGTCCATACATTTAGTCACAACAGACAACTCCTAAATATTGATATTCTTAATGCCTTTTTCTATATTTGATGCAGAGCTTTTAAACATAAGAACTTACCCTAATGAAGCTGGCAATGTCATATGATAGTCATGAAAAGTTGCATCTGGGATGCTCTGTATCTTTGTATTTTTATACTTAAATTTTTTGCAGGTTCTGGATAAGATGAATAATCCACACTATTTGTATCGCATGACTTTCTTGCATGCAATAGCCCTTTTATCCCCGGTCATGGGTCCAGACATCACATACCAGCGGCTTTTACCCGTCGTCATTAATGCCTCTAAAGACAGGTGATTTTTGCATCTTCTTCTGCTCACTCTCTTCCATCTCAACTTGATTTGGTTACTAATAGCTTTATTATTGTCCTTCAGGGTGCCTAACATCAAATTCAATGTAGCAAAGGTGCTGCAATCTCTCCTCCCTATAGTCGACTCATCAGTAAGTGAAACCATAATGCAGAGTTGCATCATATATCTGCTTTTGCTTTTATAATATCCTGTGTCGGGCCTTCTGTATTTAAAATTTAGGATGATTTACATTCATACCGCTCAATTCTTATGTATTTATATATCTAACATTTAAATGCCAATTTTTACATATGTGCCACCTTATCTATAAATGAAAAACTTGTATTTCACTTTTTAAAATTTAAATGGTGTATTTTTAAAGTGGAAGATTTGGGTGGTATGAATGTGAAAATCAAAGTTTAGGCGTTACATATGTAAATATATAAGAATTGCTTGGTATATGTATGTAAATGCCCCTAAAATTTATATGTTTTCTAACCGCAGGTTGTCGAGAAAACTATCAGGCCCTGTCTTGTTGAGCTTAGCGAAGACCCGGATGTCGATGTGAGGTATTTTGCCCACCAAGCAATACAATCTTGTGATCAGTTAATGATTTCGGGCTAGAGGATTCTATCATCGTGTGTGAAATTCTTATCCATTCTCTGCCGTTTTGACTGCCTGCTGTTATTTTTTTCCATGTCTTCATTTATATTGTTGTCTAGAGCTCTGATTAACACCATTAGGCCTAACAATGATATAGTATTTTTATATTATTCTGAATTTTTATTTGCTTTCAAAATTAGAATCGCTGCCTGTCCAACAACTTAATTCTTTATTTAGTTTTCCTCCTTGGTTTTGTTTGGATCTGCGCTGTTTTCAGAATGCCTGATGTGTTTAGTGGCTGTTTTCTTTGAGCTGTACATTTGAATCCGTTACAACTGATGCATGAAGTCCACTATAAATTGAGAAGCTGGCAAAAAGAATTCAAATGAAATTATAATTGAACAATTAGTGATCTTCTGATATACAAGATTACCATGAAGAAGCCAAAGAGTAACATTGGTAGTAAGCTTCATAAAAGATAATATTCACTATAAATTAGACAATTTATCTATGGACAAGCGAATGCACAAACATTGATTTATGTTGCATCAGCCAATGCCCAAGAAGATAATGGTATTTTAGTTAATGGTTGGATTAATGCATTCTTGTTTATTTCAAATGTTACAATTAAATGCATTCTCTCTCTTCAATAGTTAAATATGGTTTCATTTACTTGCTACATGAGTAATCTTTATTTTGGTCTTTTCTTGAAAGTTGAGACTTAAACCAACTTAATATAAGTAGTCAGAAGGCAAAATTACAAGATCAGCAGTCTAATGGCCTTGAGAAGAAAATGGTGAAGTTACAATCAAAAATTGATGATAAAAACTTCCAAAAATGGTTATAACTTCTCAAAATTGTGGCTCAAAAATTGAAAATAATCATATGAACCATCCGACAATATATTTTTATAGTAAAACAAGTCTATAAGAGGATTGCATCTCTGTTGTAAAGGTAAGATTTCTGTGTTGTGCCCAAATGGTTGAACATTATAATTATATGGAAGAGAGGAGTATACTAAAGTTTTCCAAAATCATTATTGGGCTACACCATAAAATATTGTTTCTCATCCTTTGTCTCATAAAATGCCATTAAGTCTAAGAAATACTTTGTGCCCTTTAATTCAATAAGAAATTGATGTGCATCATGATCATCCAAACAAGGAAAATAGTGAAAAAAAAATAATTATTGATTTATAAGGCCAAAAATCAAGCAAGAAGCACTTGAGAAAGAGTAATAGAGGAGGGTGTGAAAAGTGGAGGCAACAATTGCAAAAACTGTAACATTGGGTTTTGATTCTAAAATAATGAAAGCAATTGAGATTAATTACCACAAGAAACTGAGTAAGGAAAGCCAACAAAAAATAAATTCCATCATATTGAATAATCTAACCATTATTTTTCATCCCAATATTGTAAAAGAAAAGGATCTTAAAAGGGATGTAGTTTTAAATTTCACTTTCTGCTTTTGACAAATATGACAAGATTTTATTCTAAAGCATATTCATTTACCTCATAATGCTCTCAAAATTAATGTGGTTCCTTACAACTTACACGAATTGGGCAGTAACTTGAATACCCAATAGAAAATTTCATTTCATAGTTTTGTTTAAACTTATGTCAACATAAACAATTGGAGTCAATGTACAGAAAATAAATGAAAGAAGATATTTAGAGGAGTGAGTTTATAAAGAAAGAAAATTCATTATGGCATGCAAAAAACAAATGGTTATGGGATTAGTTGTATTAATTGCAAAGAGCATAATTAATGTTAATTCTGATAAATTTTTCTATTTGCAAATCTTTTATTCTGTATCTTGTAATTTGAATTTTTCATATAAAACAGGAAAACTTGGAGTTTCCCTTGAACACCAAGATAAGTTTGAACCAATTTAACATTTGGTGCATGATTTTGAAGAAAACTACAAGCATTTTTGTGACAAAAGAAGTTTTAATTATACCAAAAATAATTACTCATCATATAAATGATAAATAGAACGAACTCACTCCAAACATTTTATATAAACTATATTAGTTTCAGGAGAAAGAGATCACATGCCTGAGCCAACAAACATTTTCTAAAAAAATCGTAGGCCATTTTAGTAGCAACTGCATGGTCTTTGTATGGTGGTGCTTCATGGTAGGAGTACTTTTTCCAAATAGATGTTTATCTATTAGCAAAGAAAGACTTCCAAGTCACACAATCTTTCTATCATTTAAGATTTATGATTAGTGTTAAGAATATTGTGAGAAGGAAGACTCGATCTTTCTTTTTATCTCAGAACGAGTGCTAGTGTTTCATGAGATGATCTTGATTCTTTTTTTAAATGACATTATGATGCATAAAATTTAAATTTAGACTATTGATTTTACGTATAATATCTTTGGAGATTATAACGACTTTGAACAATAAAAAAAGGTGATCATGGATCTCAAAAGCTATAGATAGCTAACAAATGATAGTGAGAATATTTCCAACCACCGAATCATCTAAAAATCTTGCTTATACCAATCTTGGAGCTTTTTGTTGGGTTAAAAACTATATATAATAATACTAATTTATTTCTATAGTAGTTGATGGCATTAATGACTAAAAATATCATTTATACATTAAGATTTAGAAAAACAATGAAAAGGAAGATTTGTTTAAATTTATTCTTAGGCCAAGTATGCTTTTAAGATTATGGAGGATTTGTTTGAATTTATACTTAGGTTAAGCTTAGAATAAAAGCATTTAAGTTAACTGAGTTAAGCCTTCTATGAAGTTCAACTTCAAGGGCTATATCATTGTTGAAAAAGCATATTGGGCTATGAGTTGGGGAAGAAGAACAAGTGTAGCTATGAGTTCACCAAGAATATTGCAAAAGGGTGATAAGATTATATTTGTTTAGTAGTAGTTTGGGATCACTATTTTTTATTTCTTATTTTTTTATTTTTTGTATCTTGATTAGAGATTTAGTGTGCATGTGTTTTTTAGCGCTTTTGACATTTAGGTGCCTCGAAAAAATAAATTATAAATACGTGGCTCAAATTTAAATTTTAGAAATACAACTATTTTACTCACGGGCCATGTGTCCTTTCAAGACTTGGATCAACTCAATACTCGACTTTGCCTATCACTTACATTTCATAGAACTTGAATGAGCTCCTTTTGAAAATGTCATAATGTCTCACTTGTATACTTAACCAAAAATTAATTGCTTTAATGCTTAAGAAAATAGAGAAAGAAAAAACATTAATAATCCCATATATTGAACGATAAATTCGTATTTATATGACCTTAAATCACACCTTTCTAAAGAATACCAAAAATTCTCAACTTTTTAGACAATTAGTCCAAAAACAAGGGCGGGTTTGTGGGGTGCACCCGTCTCTATCGTGAATTCATGTTCAATAAAAATAGATCTGGAAACCTTTCTTTCCATAGCTGGCTTCCACACTTCACGTTGCAATTATATATATGTTGGATTATTGTGTGCCTTCTCAATGCTGGATATATTTATACATATATATGTTGGGTAATGTGGAGACCCGGTTCATCACAATTTAATTAGTTTCCTAATTAAGAATCTCATCTACCACACCCACCTACCGCTCACCTACCTCTCTCCTACCGCTCTCCTAGTTTCTATAAATAGCATCTTATGACTTGTCATAAGTCACGCCACAAGCCAAGCCACAAGTAAAGTAAGGCTAAACCAAGTCCTCTAAGAGAGTAAGAGAGGAAGAGAGCGAGAGAGAGGAAGGAAGAGAAGAAAATAGAGAATTTCTTGTAAACGTCGAGGAGCTCGACAGTGTAATTCCTCAAAATAGTAAAATCCTCTGCAGCTCCGTGGACGTAGACAAATTTATCGAGCCACGTAAATCTGTGTCGCTCTGGTGTTTTTTTTCTTCGTGCAATTTTTCTCGCTCCATTTTTGCTTTATTGTCGTCGTTTTTCACAACAATATATATATATATATTAGTTATTTACATATGTAGAAACCACACAAATCTTATATATTTGCATATCTAACAAAAAAAGTTTGATATTTACCCTTATGACAATTTGGTGTCATAAATCTACCATGAAAGCTTGTATTTCAAGTATAAAAAGCATCATTTTGATATTTTTTATGTGATTTTAAAGATTTTGAGTATGCATGTACATATGAATGTTTAGATGCTAGATATATGAATACATTAGAATTGTGCGGTATGTTTGTAAATGCCTAATTATTCTCGTTCTTTTTTCTTAAGTTGATGTCGTAGTTTTATACAGCTGCATTACTGTTATTATTTCAAACTTTTTTTTTTCATTTATTTATTATTATTTTTATTCTTATTACAAACTTTCAATTTTTTATAACAAATGATTAGGCCTATGAAATGCTAGCAAATTATGCTATTTATTTTTAAAATAAATAAATAATGAAGTTTGCTTTTGATTTATTTCATATGTTCCTAATGATGAACATTAGAAAAGGGAGGCGGGGCGATTACATACATAGCAATCAAAGCATTGCTCTTTGCTAAACTAGTAGCACCCTCTTTAATGTTTTATATTGTCACTCAAATATCAAAATTCACGAAATATTTTTCATTTTTTTTTAGTCAAATTACAATTGGATTGATTGTGGCATGTGTAAATGCATATGTTCTGTATTTAAAAAATTACTTGGGGGTTAGTTTGTAAATAACAATGTTTCAAGTGCCATGTGTCTAATTATGCCAAAAGAAGTATTTTGAAAAAAAACAAAAAAAAAATAAAAAATAATAAAATGAATAAATACAATTATGAAGGAATATCTAGAAAAAAAAAGGAAGGATTTTTGGGCCTTCTCAATTCCTTCCATACCAATAACTACTAATCCACAGTTAGAATGATTTGAAGAAGTGGATATTCTAAAAAAATGTTACTAATCTTGCATGGATTTGAACTTACTTGGAGATTTGATTTATTTTGTCTATTTCTTGATTTATGACAAATTTATACAGAGTTGTCATAGAAATAGTCCAAGAATAATAAAAAAATTATAATACTTAATAACTCTATTGATGGTTATATAAGATAGGCTAAATTAGATGTATTTAATTCTCTCATGGTTAATGGTTTGAAAGCTATTTGAAATAATCATATATGGATATATTTTAAGCTTTTTTTATATAATCTTGCTAGATGATTTGCTTCTAATTTAAAAAATATCTATTTTATATACTAAAGA